TGATTTTTTCTGTATATTGAGATTGTTTGGTTTAACTCCAATTAAACATGACAACCACCTAATTTAAAATACCCTAACATATTCTAACCCTAACTTTGATTCAGCTCTATAATCTATGATGTAATTATAGTTATTCGTTCTGAATAAAATCGATCAACTGCAATATTTCTACACAAGTCCTTGATATTTTTTAACAAAAGAGGAAGACCAGCTATTCAGTTCCTTTTGTCGTTATTGTTTTATAGAAAATTCAAATAGTGACATCATGTTCAACGTGTCTGTACATGTAAGAATGGATTTTTCAGTGCCCATCTTTCCCTTCTATTCTATTTTTTCTTTTTAGACCACCTGTCATTTCAGGTTTGTTAACCTATATTGGAATTACAGGAATAATACGTAAATAAAGGTTGTCACAGCATCACTGTCTCGAACTTAGGTAAACAGAAATTTATGCTAGTTCTTATTCTGATTTGGTTGTGGACCATTTCATTATTTCTGTATACTGGAATTATTTGGTTTAACACATTTAAACGTGACTACAACCAAATTTAAAATACCTAACAAATGTCATAATAACCCTAACTTTGACTTTACCTTAACTATAATGTAAGTAGGCCTGTTCTGAATAAAATCGATCAACTACAATGGATCTAGACAACTAAGTCTTTGTAACTTTGAGAACAAAAGAGGACCAGATAATCCTTTTGTCACAACTGTCTTATAGATAATTCAAACAGTGACGTCATGTTGAACGTGTCTGAACTTGGTGTAGGATGGGATTCTCTTTCAGTGGCACTTTTTACATTCTATGTTTTTCTTTTCAGACCCTCTAATATTTTAGATATCCTATATTGGAATTACTGTATGAGATAATGTTGCTTATGTAAATAACAGTTGGTGGTAAATTTTTTCTTAGCTTTTTTAATTTTGATTTTATTTTATTATTTTGCATATTACGTGAGGATTAGGTGTTAGTGAATCAAAAACCACTAATTTTCTGAACTATTTTTGAATTTGATTATGTATCTGCTTTGTTTTTTTTCAGCTAAACTATTTATGAATAATTTTTCCGTTGTTTTTTCTTTCTGTTTTTTTATTCGTACATAAATGGTTTATTTTAAAACAACGTTTTCGATTTGATTTATCGTTGAGATGTCTCTGAATTTCTTATACATTTATTTAAAATACTACATTTACAAGATTGATATTTTACTTTTTTTCCTCTATTTTGAATAAAGCAGAGGGTTTTTAAACATTTTTGTTACAACTCGTTTTACTTAAACGTAGGATAACTGCCGTATTTAAAGGAATTTTCATTTCACTTGTTGCTTTTTATTTTTGTTGTACGTACTTTCTTTTTTGTAGAATGATTAATGGTATAGTTTTTACTCTCTCGTTTATGAGTAGTAGTTGTAACAATTTGGAGGACCTTTGATTTGGATGTTTTCGTTTTCAATTAACGAAATTGTATGACCATTATGATCAGTATATTGGTGTTTTCTATAGAAAAGTATTTGAGTGAGTCTATTATTAAAACGAATAGCAATACAAATCAACCAGAAAGAATGTATAACTAAATCGAAAGATCCCAACATAAACATTGGTTTTGCAGAAATATTGTACAGGATCTACCTAAATGTTTGTTTTCTGTGTTTTTTGCCCATTCAATGAGGCTATGGAGCTATTTTGTAAAACCAATTAAAGTAAGGCCTTTGGTTAAAACTTGGTGACAAACTTTTAATGGGTGTGTATTGCCGTTAGCTTATGTATTTATTTTTGCTCAACTCTTCTTAAATTCTTCGGTTGCTTCTTCCATCTGGAAACATTTCCTAACTGTGTATCTAAATTGACATATCTATAAGTTTCCGACCAATAGCATTAACATATTGCGCTTGAAATGTCTGAAAAGACAGCTTGATTATAGCCTGTAGTTAAAAACAAGCTTAACCCTATGCTGTTCGCATATACAGAGCGCATCGTACATTGTATTATAACGTGAAAGGCTATTGAAATGGTTCTATTGTTTTAGATACCTATTTACCGTTACAACTGTGTCTCTTAACATTATACTGAAATATAGTAGTCCGTTTGTTTTTTTGTTTTTTTCAAACCATTTTTAACATGCTTCCAAAGTTGACAAAACAGTCGTTACAATAATTCAGTCTAATTCTCCGAACTTTACAATGAGTGAAATTTCCATTCCTATCTGGTTTGGCTAATTTGTAAGAATAATTTTTTGGTGCCCCAGACACAAATGTGACGATGTGGTTGTCTGATTCTAATTCATCCGTTAGCGCTCAAAAAATCCCCAATGTGCGGTTCCCATTGTCCTTCCCGACTTACGTATATCACACTGTCGGTATCGTAGTACAATACACGCCTGTCAAGCTGTTCTAAGAGTTCGTATAATTTAAGACGCGCCTGTGCAGATGTATAGGCCGCTATGATTACATTTGTACGACCAGATGGTTCTACAAAGTCTCTATTTTGTTGCCATTGTACTTCTACCAAAGTTTACATTATGCACCTCAGTGTCATCGCGAGTCATCATTTCGAAATATTCCTATGGATCTTCGATATACGTGGTTTTAGTCATGTTTGGGCGCTGTCCAAATTTCCCCCAAAATGAATTTAGCTTAAGCTTGGCCAATGCACGTAAACCAGGGTTCTCTTTTATATTATGGGGATTTAGCACAATTCCTTCTTTTTCAAAGTACAACTGTACATATGTATCTCGTTGTTCTTATGGTCTTACACCAACTAGGCCAATCGCTGGCTTCTTGATTTAACTTGAGGAAGGCATTAACGTAAGCTGTGAATAGTCCACCATCCTTAGTCACAGGGTCGTATACCGATGTGTTTTCAAAATGCCAAACCTCAAATATTTTCAATACTCTATATCCTTTGTTTAAGGCTTTTGATTAATTCAAGTGTTACCCATGTACCCTCAAGCGCACGATGTGAAAGGCTATTGAATGTTCTATTGTTTTAGATACTGTTTACCGTTACAACTGTGTCTCTGTGTATCGACTGTGACGTAGTAACACAAACAAGTTCGGACATGTCCGAAATGACGTCATAAATTTATTATTCATATTTCCTATAGGATTAACGGCTATAAAGGGTCGTCAATAGACATAATAAAAATATAATACATGTATTGAAAAACATCATATCCAGTTTTACCACTACGTCATAAATTACTTATTCATATTTCAAGGTCCGGTAAAAGAAAACAATAGGTCTTCGACCGGAAGTA